TTGAACGGTGTCATCGGGGGTCGAAGTGACTTCCAGCTGTCTGTGCGTGGGCCAGGCAGGCCTTCTCGCAGGGCAAGGAATTGTGCTGTCACACAAACCCACAGTCTGTATAGGCTCACAGAGCCCATGTCGGGGCTGCAACTTTCTGGGGCTGCACCTGCAAGGACAAGGCCTGGTTGGGGGTGGGGGAATCTGGGAAGGCCAAACGCCACGGCTCTGGGTCTGGGCAGTTTCCAAAGCTGCTCACTGCCTCTGGGACCTTGAGCAAATCACTTACTGCACTGAGACTCAATTCTCTCTTTATCTGCCTAGCAACTTCCTGCACCCTGGCTGGTGGTGAGAATAGATGAGGAAAGCCACCTGTCAGAAACCGAGTGTTGCAAAATGTGGTGATACTATTATTGTTGCTGAGCTTGACGTCATCCTTGAGAAATTCTCTTGGGTTTGCCTTATTTATGTATTTCTTTTAATATTTCCAAATTTCCTTCCCCCTCCCCCCCGTAAGAAAGACGATAATCTTTGAATTGGCTTTGTTCGTCTTAATCCTCTTCCCCTTAGTCTGGAAGAGTATTATGATATCAAATAGAAATAAAATCTTACTATTTGAGGTCCAAAAGAATCACCAAGAATAATCATCAGGCATCAAATTATCGTATGTGTATACATAAACAGATTCAGATATATTTTAAAATATGGAAAAATCTTTCCCCAAATTAAAGATTGCTCAAATGGTCTAGCTGCTGCTGCCTGATGATTTATCTGTAATGACTTTGGCACTCCCCCCTCGCCTTTTGTTTTAGCAGCTTTATTGACGTATGATTTACATACCATGAAATTCACCCACTGTAAATGTACAATCCTGTGGATTTAGTAAATTCATAGAGTTGTGCAACTGTCACCAGAGAACATCTCCATCACCCCAAAAAGAAACCTTGAGCCCATTTACAGTTACACTCCACTCCCAGCCCCGCCCTAGGCACCCACCGATCTGTTCTGTCTCTATAGCATCACCTTTAGTAGACATTTCAGATGAATAAAATCATGCAAACTGTAGTATTTACATGTGGCTCATTTCATGTGGCATAATGTTTTTGAGGTTTGTTATCTGTATCATCACATGTAGTAGTTATTCATTTCTTTTACTTGGCTAAATAGTCTTCCATTATATGGATATATGACAATTTATCTGCTCACCTGTTGACAGACAGTTGGATTGTTTCCAGTTTGAGGCTATTATGAATACTGTGATGAATACTTGTGCACATGTCTTTTTGTGGACCTGTTTTTACTCTTTTGGATAGATCCCTAGGAGTGGAATTTCAGGGTTGAGAAGTTTATGTTTAGCTGTTAAAGAAACTGCCAAACTCTTTCCCAAAGTGGCTGTCCAATTACACATTTTCCACCAGCAAAGAACAATGGTTCTGTTTCCCCACATCCTTGCCAACACTTAGTGTTGTCTGTTTTTTTAATTTTAGCCATTTCAGTGGGTGTTTAGTGATATCTCGTTGTGGTTTTAATTTGCACCTTTCTAGTGACTAAGTATGTTCAGTATCTTTTCATGTAGTCATTAACTGTCTGTATATCTTCTTTAGTGAAATGTCTATTAAAATATTTTGCCCATTTTTAAATAAGGTTGCTTGTCATCTTGTTGAGTTGTAAAGTTTACTTTATTTTTAATTCAAAGACTTTGATAGGATTTTAATTTGGTAAATACAATTTTAAAAGTAAGCAGTTAAATAAGATGGTTAGCCTTCATGGAATTACACACCCCATCTAATAGGCCTTTAAAGTTTTTTTGATACCTACACAGCGTCCAGGGGCTGGCATCCTTCAATTTCAGAAGAGGAGATTGCTGTCCAGAGAAGTAAAGTGAGGGGGTCAGGTTATCCAGCTTATTGTATGTAAAGCGGGAATTGGAGTGTGACTCCACTTGAGACCGGGAGGCCAGGAGCACACATAGAAACTTTACTCTCTCTCCAGGGCTCAGTGTGGGGCCTGGTGCTGCTCCAAGGCTTGCCTGGAAGCAGAACTGATGTGGACCTTGGACCTGTGTTTGGTAGAAGAGGTGCGCTTATTTGCTGGGTCAGAAGCCAGGTGCCCAGGTGCCCGGAGATGATGGTTAGAGGGTCCTGTTGGCTTTGGCTTGAATTCCCGGCCTTTGGGCATGCTGGATTTCACAGGTGGCTCCTGGCAGCAGGGCATCTTGTCTTTTCTCACTTCATAAAGTTTTCCATTTAGGGCCTCCCTTGTGGCAGAGCAGCTGTATCTCTTCACCCTCGGTGACCCTACCCTGCAGGAAGATTCCCTCCCTGCACGTGGCTTCATGCCCTGTGGGCTGCTGTGCCTGCATCTGGGCAATCTGTGGAAGTCCTTGACCTGCAAAAATGCAAAACTTCCCCAGGAAACCCTCTTTGCTCTCCTCGAGCACAGATCTTTGCTGATGGCTGGACCAGATGGGCAGTCCTAGGCTCTCAGCTGGGTAATAGGAAAAATAAACAGAATGTTTCCAGTTATCTTGCTCCAGAGAGGAAATACAATTCTTGTATTATAGGAGGATTTTAATGTCTATGTTGTATATTAAAATATTGCATAAGCCATTTTGCACGTGGGTTCTCACCGTTGTCCCTCTTGGAATGTTTGATTTCTCACTTTTCTCACTTTCCCTTTGTTAGCCTGTAAGACTTCTAAAATGAAGCCACCCTGTATGGAATAGCTGAGCACACTGTGCTGGGCTATTTAGACTGTGAACTCTGCATCCGGCAGGCGCAAGCAAATGTGCGCTTGCAGCTGCCAAAAGACTTCATTCAGTGGCTCATTGAATTCAATGGAAAGAGGTGTTAATAGAGTCAAGGGAAGTGATGCTATTAAAAAAAGTGACATTGTGTGGCTCTGTTCTGTGTTTCTTCTCCCTCAATGACTTCCAGATCAAACTCACACAGTTTGGCATCAAAAGATGCCTGTTTTGGACTCCAGTTTGAGGCAAATGAGATATCCAGTGTAGTTACTCCTCACTTCCTGCTATATCTCGTTCCTGAGGATGATTGTCAGATAGTTCAGAACAGCTTTGGCCCCTGTGAGAGCTGGGTCGTGGTGTCAGCACATGAGAATAATAGCAGGGTCAGGTGTCACACGACTGTCAGCTCAGCTGCTGGCCTCAGCCTATAGCAAGAGTTTGGGTCTCCATAGCTCTTGAATCATAAGATCCCAAGGGTGAGATGTTGATACAAAAAAGAGATCGGGACTCTACATCCTCTCTGTCTCCCCAGATAATGTGCAAGGAAGTTGACCAAAGGTACTGGGAGCTCCAAATTGTGGTTATTACTGATGGTCTGACGGGCATTGTGGAGACTATATGAGAACTCGCTTTCTCCATAAATAGTTTGTGCTCAGAGGATATAGCGTGCCATTCTAAAAGACTTCTGGGGGCTGGGTGTGGTGGCTCATGCCAGTAATCCTAGCACTCTGGGAGGCCGAGGCGGGCGGATTGTTTGAGCTCGGGAGTCGAGACCAGCCTGAGCAAGAGCAAGACCCCGTCCCTACTAAAAATAGAAAGAAATTAACTGGACAACTAAAAAATATATAGAAAAAATTAGCTGGGCATGGTGGCGCATGCCTGTAGTCCCAGCTACTCGGGAGGCTGAGGCAGGAGGATCGCTTGAGCCCAGGAGTTTGAGGTTGCTGTGAGCTAGGCTGATGCCACGGCACTCACTCTAGCCCTGGCAACAAAAGCGAGACTCTGTCTCAAAAAATAAAAAAAATAAAATAAATAAAATAAATAAATAAAAGACCTCTGGGGAGTCTTGGGAAGGGAGGGATGGTGTAATCATCAAATGGGCTGAGACAACAGTGCTGTCAATCCCTCCCCCCACAGAGGGAGAAAACAGAGAGGAGAGGGGTGAAGATACCTGCTCGCAGCCTTCACCAAGGGGGTGAAGTTATTTCTTGGGAGGTTAAAAAAAGTTATGCTTTTGACATAGAAAGCACAAATATATATACAGTTTATCTGTGTTATTAAACTTTCATTAGGGAAAACATCGTCTGAAAGTGCTCCATACGTGGGTGACAACAGAAAAAGGAGTGAGAAATACTGCTCTAGACTAAGGTTTTGGGGGCCTTGATGAAAATAACTCAGAGTCCTGGAAGGTAAATAAACAAAATCTGCACTAACTCCTGACCTGTTGAGGTTCCTGCGCTGCAAAGACAGCTGCCAACATTACCAGAAGGATAAGCATTAGGACTTTGTTATTAATATTAATACTAGGTGCTCCCTGCTTCCATCGTCTGTGTTAGAAATTTCAAAACAAGTCTAGGGTGATTTCTGCAATTTCCCATGTCCTCTCCCATTTTGTTTGCCCCCTTACGGGGAGTTGGGGTGTGCTATTTCACAGTTAACCTGTCCTAAGGATTCCCGATTCTCTTTAGCTCAGCATGCTGGAAAGAGAATGGTCCTTCTCACCTTCTCATGTTTTTTTAGGCAAGGTTGGAGAAACTGCTAGGAGTTTGGAAGGGAAGAGCACCCTGGTCTCTGGTTTTCCTTAAGCTCTTTACTCAGGGCTACTTGAAAAAAGTCCTGATCCAGTACCTTTCACAGAGAGCAGGAAAGAAACTGGGGTCACCAGAATTTGGTGCCGTAAGAGATGCCAACCTTATCCTAACATGCCTGGCCAAAGTTTAGGGCTGCCGGGGGAGACTCCTCCTCCCAGCTCTCCTGCAGGAGGAACAAGGCTGGCGGAGTCATACTGGTATCCTCAGATTTATGAGAAAAGATCCTCCAAAGCCACAAAACCTTAGGTCCTTTTGACCATCTGTTGGGATGGTGAGCACACACTTGGATTTGTTTTACTGTTGGTGTCTCTCTGTGGTTCTCCTTTCCTTCTTGTTCTTTTCTTCTCTCATTTCTTTTTCTTTGGTCTGTTCATTGGGACTTGGCCGGGCCATGTACAAACCCCAACCATTCAACAGTGCTGGAGAGTAGATAGTATTTACCTCAATAATGGTAGTCTCTTTTCGATTCTTTTTAACCCTCAATTCAGATGACGGATCTAAGCCGACACCCACGATGGAGACTCAGCCGGTGTTCGATGGAGATGGTAAGCTCTTGCACTGCTTCTGACTTATGTTCTCCCACCTGTCTTCAGGTTTGGGAAAGGTCTTAACTTTGGGTGTTTATTTAAGCTTTATTACTATTATTTTCTTTTTTAATTTCAATTTTTCCCCGTGTAAGCTGGGTTGTTTTAACCTTTCAAAAAATGCAAATCCTCCAAGGAACTGGTACACTCTCCACTTCTGGAAGGGCCCTCTGTTCTCTCCAGGCTTCCTGCCTGTCTCCTGATGTCCAACAATAACACAGCCTGGACAGAGCCTTTGAGCTGCCAAGACCCAGGAATCATGGCTGAGAAAGACAGTCATGCTGGCAGCGTCCCTTCCGTAAACTAATCAGCACTTACGAGGGTCTGCTCTGTGCCTAGCATCAGGCGAGGCCCTCTGGGGGATGAAAGGAAAGTGTACAAATGTAAGCCTTCGCTCTCAAGATAGCTGCAACTATCAGAGAGCGTTATGTGTTTGATTTTTATTGTAATAGATGTTTGTGGAAGAAAGAGATCAGAATGGTCTGGGAAAAGCTTCTGTGAAGAGCTGGGACTGGTCCCGGATCTTGGAAGTGGAGGGAGGAATCAGTGTGTTCTGGGCAGGGGTCTGGCATGGACAAGGTGGGCACGCAGTGGGGATGGGGTACAGCGAGCAATGCGGCAGGGAGAAAGGGTTAGTGGGGCTGATTTGGCTGGGTTGTAGGGACTTTGACAGTTGAGTCAAGACATTTGGGAGAGAAGAAATTCTAGGTTAAGAGAAATAGTGGTGGCTGGTGGCAAAATAGAAGCTGGAATTCTCTGGACACATGGAGAGTGGATAGAAAGAGCATGGGATGCAGAAGGTTGGCCCTGATTCAGGGTGGAGCTGCTCAGGGCCTGTATTTTCAGTGTATATTGCCGAGGACTCCAGATTCCCCCGAAGAGGAGCAGAACATTTGGCAGAGTGAGGTCTCTAGAAAGTCTGACAACAAGGTTCAGCTTTTAGTGCAATATGCAGCAAACTTTTAGCAGCTCTCAGCCGAGTGTGTCCAGGCCTAGATCATGAGACTGGTCAGTTAGACAGAGGAATAAAAAGTTGGCACTGTGGCTAGGGCTGTCCCTCCCATAGGCTCAGCTCTGGGGAAAAGGATTGCAGTGTGAGATAATGGGACATATGTATGTTCATGTCTAGAAGTTCAAATGTCTCTGTCATCCACAAAGGTCCTGGACCATTGGCAAGTCTGGGACCTGGGTGATCTGCTGGGGAATGGAGACCTTGTCATATTGGGAGACCTCCCCAAGGCCCTCGCTGAAGATCTTATCACTCCACAGTGTGTTCAGGGCCACCTGGGATTCTTATACCACCTGCCCACTGGGTGACCCATGTCCTGGAGAGTAGGGGGGCACCCTGGCACTCTCTGGATGGAGGAATTCAGCCTCTGTTCAGTGAGAAACCATTAGCAAGGGGATTGAAGTGAGCATTAGACCTGTTACTCTCTTTCCCATGTGGAGCCGAGTCCCAGCGAGCTGAATCTGCTGTGGCCCAGCCATTTCCTCTAGAATGGTCTCTGTGGTTTGTTTGGCTTTCGTTTGTTGATTTATCCCCTTTAAATCTTCTCCCAGGGAAGCAGCTGAGCAGGACTTGGCTTGGCCCATGTTCCTTCCCTCCTGGGATAATATTTTTATTCCTGGATGGAGTGGCTCAGCGCCTCTGGACTCTGCCCACTCTGCCTCCTGGCACAGGATGCCCGGCTTGGCTCTTATGAGCTGGTGGGGAGAGGAGCTTCCTTCATGAGGAAGGAAGAGGGCACTGGGACAAGGTGGATGTGGAATGAGGGAGATAGCTGAAGCTTTGATGCCTCAGGCTTTTTAAAAAAAGCCATTAAAAAGCCTGGGGTTACACTGTAAGTCACATATTCTCTTTGCCTAGACTTTTTCTCTCTCCTTTTTTTCCCTCCCAGAAATTACAGCTCCTACTCTATGGATTAAGCACTTGGTAATCAAGGACTCCAAGCTGAACAACACCAACATAAGAAATTCAGGTAAATGATCTTCCTTCGATTAGATATGTACCCAATTCATCCCTGGTCGCCCCAGGGTTGCTCTGTGACTACCTATGGTGTGACTTTGGCCAAGTCATTTAATCTGTCTGGTCTTCAATTTCTACAGCTATAAAATAAGAACATTGGGTGAGTTAACCCTTTCTAACTTTAATTTTCTTCATTTATCATCTCAGGGATCATCATTCATAAGTAGCTGATCCTTTTAGCTAAAAAAATTTTTGACTGTATATTGTAATATTTTGCTTGACTTTTTATATGGCCTGTGGAAGAATTTGAAAGAAGAATGGCTAAGCATAAAGAAGTTGGACTTCAAGCCTGGAGGGACTTGGTTCCATGTGTTTTTAAGGCTTTAAATGGTCACTTACAGCCATATCTTTTCTGTTCTGATCTTTTGGGGGTCTTGTGAATGGTTAGTTTTTGGCACTGTCTGAACCCTTTGCAGAAAAGTGATAATTTTTGAACAGTGATCAGATTTGTAGGATTTATTTGTAGACTTTATTTATCATCAGTTAAGACCAATATCAATAAAGTTCATTTATCATCAATAAAGACTAAATGTCCACCAGCATTTGTGGAAAATGTATCCACAAGATAAATCTGCATCTCTATCAAGGAGGATCATCCTTCTTTCAACCAAGGACTTCATTGTTAGAAATACCGCTCTATGTCATTTATGCCTGGCTGTTGAATTTAGCCATACCATCTTTTCTTTATAGGTGGCAAGGACGATGAACAAAAAGATACAGGCAGAGTTTTCCACGCCCATTAATGAATAAGTGTGCTGTCATGGGCCCCCTTAAGGTTTATCTGTGCACCAGCTCTGTCCTAAAGGTGGCAGTGTGAGGTTAGAGTGCAAGGAGTGATATAGACCGGGGGATAAATTCAAGTGGTATTGGTGGAATTCCTCGGTGGCTTGGGGTAGTCAGTACCTCTCCATGTGTCTGGTTCACTATTTGATAAAAGCCAGAGGAATGGGATGATGGGGTGCAAAGGGATTGCGTGGACTCCCTTGGGTCAGAGTCTTTGATAGAATAGTGCAGTGGTTAAAGCACAGGCTTTGGAGTCAGCGAAACCTGGGTTCACATTCTAGCTCCAACACTTAGTGAGTGACCCAATTGAGTCACATAATCCCCCTCTGTTCTCATCTGTGAATTGGGATTGTTGTCCCTCCCTCAAAGGACTGTGGTTAAAGGTTAACTAAGTTAATGTCTGTGTAGTACTGAACTGATGCCTGGCTAAGCGATCAATTGTAAGTACACGTATTTATTATTATCATCGTTATTGGTAGGAATAATGGGAATATTAATGATAGTGCTTATGGCGAGAATTCTTCAGTCAGGAAAGAATTTATGATTGTTGCCATAAAGCAAAGACATCTATCAGACAGGCTGCTTCTTAGGACCTCCCTCCTCTGCCCCTTCATTGTTAGGCAAATATAAGTCAACGAGAAGTGGTTTTGGTGCCTACAGTACATGGTGCTGGAAGTAACATTTACAACCGTCCCTAGTCCCTGAGACCCTGGAAGGTTTGCAAGGTCCCAGTGAAAGGGTTACTGTCATTCTGTCATTCTTACCAAGTGGCAGGTAAGAGGGTGAGCTCTCTGAATTATACGGCACCTTTGCCTGAAACACTGACTTGACGTTTAGCAACTGCTTCCCTGAATTTCTTTTTCACCTACCAGTAGTTGACTCCTCTACATGGGTTATAAGCTCTGTGAGAGCAAGGGCTTTACTGCCCACCTATCATATCTATTATAGAACTTTGCTCAGTGTGTTCAACTGCTCTGGGTAAGGGTGGAGGAGAAAAGATCATCATCACCATTATTAATAAAATGAGAATGGCACTGTCATGACAGCTAGTCCCTGCCAGCTGCTATAGAACCTTACATTTGTCATCTCACTTGAGCCTCACCATACCCCTGTGAGATAACTGCGATCCCAATTTTGCAGATGAAGAATCAGAGGCTGAGAGAGAGGAAGTAATTTTTCCTGGGTCATAGCTAGTAAGGGGTTGGGCTGGAGAAAACTAGTTATCCTTGGGAATAGGATGCCTGTCTTCTGGGGCTATATTCTCTCTGAGTGTTGAAAGTCAGTTGATAATCTTTGCTTCCACTGAAGTTCTTCTGTTTTCCATTTCTACTTTCCAATTGGATGAGTATAGGGTCGTGTTGAGAAATGGTTTCCAGGCAGGTACAACCACCTACCTTTTGTTGGAGTGACCCGGCCACCTTTATTTTTCCCTGTTTGGCCCCAGTTATGTCTGTAAGGTTAGTGTGTAGGACAGGATAGTTGGGGTAGACTTAACAGTTCTCTGGGAGAGAGTGAGACCAAGAATAATTGTTATGGATCAATAACTTAGGAATCTCCTACTAAACTTGGACTTTCTCCAACATGATCAATATGGACCAAGGGCCTGCCAATCTTTTTGTTGTAATTATGCTACTATATAAAAGACATGCCCACAAAGGCCTATAGCAGGGGTTGGCAAATGACTACTTGCCCATTTTTAGCAAATAAAGTCTTATCGTAGTGCAGCCACAGCCATTTATCTGCATATTGGAGCCATTTATTTGCATATTGGCTGTTTTTGTCTACAACAGTAGAGTTGAATAGTTGTGACAGAACCTGTGTGGCCTGCAAAGCCTGGAATATTTACTGCTGGGCCCTGGCATATCTGATTGAAATAGAAGCATTTGGATGGGAGTGTGAGTATGGGGTTGTGTCACTTGAGTGTTTTGGCCCCTCTCATAGACCGAGCAGACAGCTGTTTCCTGATGTGCCCACGTAAGCCTGCACCAGCACAGGGCCTCTTCACCATCTCACGCGAACCTTTTTCAAGCTTTAACGTCCTGTTCTGGTGCACGCTCTCACACATGGGTTGCCAAGGAAGTGTCCTGAAGCTTGGCTTTCGTAGGCAGAGGGTAGGGAATCTTTTAGCGGAGATAAACCATGTAACGGCAAAACCATTTGGTGTCAGGCAAACCTGTAGACCTGGCTTCCAAAGCAAGCTCCCCACCGAGAGGCTTGGTGAGCTCAGGAAGGTTAATGAACTTCCCTGAGTCTTGAATTCCTTACATGTAAAACAAAGTTAACAGCAGCCTTGTAGGATCTTTGTGAGGACTCAGCAGCATCTACATAGTACCTGGCACATACATAGTACCTGGCACATAGTCGGTGCACCATACGTGATTTGAAACAACAACAAAACAATGCCTACTCTTGACGGAATCTTTATGTATTGTGCCAGCCATTTTTCACGTGTTATCACATTTGGTTTAATGAGACATCAGATATACTTTAATGATAACTCCTGTCTGGGCAGCTGGCTCCGGTAAGGACTGGAGCCTCTGGGTCAAACACCTGGGACGGTTTTCCATTAGGGTTTGATGAAAGATTCTGGGTTCAGGTGCTCTTCAGCTCGCTTATGTGGGGAGTTGCAGTGGGACCCTGAGAAGCCGTCAGGGGGAGAGCTCTTCTTCTCAGCTACCTCGCAGAGGCACAAAGGCTATCCCAGTTTCTTTTACACCCCAAACATCCTTTTTTCACACTCAGACCCTGTGACGCCAGGTTTGTTTTCTGGCCTGGGAACTGTTGATGTTGGAAAGACTCCACTGGGCAGCTGAGGTTTTGCAATGGCATGACACATATGCACGCAGCCTCTCCCAGTCCCCTTCTCTCCTCCTGGAAGTCTTGGTCCTTGTTTTTAAGGCTTTGTCATGTGTTCACTGCGGTCAGTGTCACTGTTTGAGCACTTGGCTGGTTCAGCATTGATGGATTTGCCTCTCTGGTCTTCTTCAGTTCTCTCCTCCATTGTAGCCCGGCGCACCAGGACTTCTTTCCGCATTCAGGACGGCAGTGGACCTGGCCGGCTAACACCCTAGAACTTGGGAGCAGCATCTTCTCATAGATGAGTGTTGGCCAGACCCTCTGTTCCGCTTTTATGAGGAAATATGAACTCTTGCTGAGTTGTATGTGTGTGTGTGTGCGTGTGTGTGTCAGGGCTTAGCCATCAAGGCATTTCTTAATATACTTAGAGTTTAAAATATTTTTTAACAATCTACATTTTATAGAAGAGGGTAAAAAGATTAAATAAATGACGAGAATTAGGTTTCATCTAATTCTTCATCCTGTGTCCCCCTGCTTCTAATTTGATTATATGCAGACACTTTCCTACAGCTGTGATTTATATCTTTTTGTTTCTGTGTGACAAAATTCTGTGCTTTCTCCTCTGGGAAAGCAAAATCTCTCAGGAAATGTGGTCCTGTGAGCCTTAACTCTTCCTGGTGTGACATAGCCATGCTCCCAAGGCCCACGCTCATTCCCTCAGCTACAGGGGGGTTAAGTTAACTCCTGTAGCCTTGAGTGGAGTGCAGTGGTGCGATGTCTCTCTCTTCTTTTCTAGCTAACTTCTTTCATGATCTGACCAGGAATTTCAAGAAGGCCCTCTCTGTGAGTTAAATCCAAAAGGACCACACTTTGCTTCTTCGGCCGGCAGAGCTTCCTTCTGTACATCAGTGAATAGAGCAGCTCTTGGTAACTCTGTTCCCAGAGACAGAGCCATTCGCAGAGACACAGGGTAGAAATGCATTTCTTACAAGTTTTGCCATGAAAATGACACCTCTATCTCTTCGTACATGAGAGTGTCTGTGTTTGCCCAAGTCACTGTACCTGTCTCAGGTAAGCTATCTACAGCATCCTGCCCTTACCTACCAGTGCCAGAGCGTTGCTCTTCTGGGCCTGCTTCTGGCCCCTGGGCCACATTTTGGATTGCTCCTGCCTCACCCGGGAAGTTCCTGCTGGGATAGCTGCTATGCTTGGGACTTGGGGTCACTGAGGCAGCTGCACCTCCTGGCTGGGTCCCCCAACCCCCAGGCCAGCACTCTTGGCTCATCTAGAAACCACCGCTGATGTAATGACCTGAGGCCTGGAAAAATAAACAGCTCACAGGGAAACCAGCGGTAGCCGTTGTAAGCAAATACC